ATTATTGAGAATGTATGCGTTCTTTATGAGACATCCATCAATAAGTTTTGACATAAGCCTACTTTGAGAAAAGTCACTTATTTTCTATACTGTAATATTGTAAGAGTTCAATTAAAAGCCTTTTTTTCTAGAATACCGTCCACATTAGAAAGTTCTAACAAGAGTACATTATTTTTAGAAAATAAAATTGTACATTAGAAATTGGAGCCCGAATGGTAAAAACCTAACCTTAAAAAAATTAGAGCCTAAAATGTAATAGGAATGTAGCGTAACTAGCGCCCTCTATGAAACATCCAAAAAATAATTAGACCAGCGCATTTGGCGTCCTTACAAACTGCGGAATACCAAATTTCATAAAAATATTTCGCACCGTTTGGAAATTTTCGTAAAAATTCTATTTAAAAAATTTAACTTTGTCGCTCTGTATCTCGAAAACAAGAGGAGATACACATATAGTTCATAAGACAAAAAAATCTTATTTTTTGTCGTACTATCAGGCTTTCTGAATTCTGTATAAATTATTATTAATTAAATAATTAGATGATTTTTTTTCAATATTAAAAAGTTGGTTTTGCATAATGTCATAATACTTGTTATATATTTGACTATTTGCATTTAGCAAAAACATATAACATATTAACTACATGAATGAGCTATGCATTGAAATATTAAATAGTTAATAGGTATAAATTAGCAGTTTTTGTTAAAGTTTGTTATACTTAATAAAAGCATCTCCTCATAGTCTGGGTACCATAACAGACTAGCATCAATTAAAATTAGCAGATATCTTACGGAAGCGTCCTTTGATAAATAAGGCAATATGAAAAAATAATACTGTATCTCCAATGTAGAATACTATAAGAAGTGTAGAGGTAGTAAGTAGTACGCCAAATTATAATGAAGCAGCATGCAACCACTCAGGAAATCAGCCATTCCGTCTTTGGGCTAGTGAGACATAGCACAGTCATGTCGTATTACTGTTACACAGTAACCTAAAGAAATGGTTGTTAAAAAAATAAAATAACGTACCTACCTAATTATTCACATATGCTTGTTCTCTATGTGACGTTAATGATAATGACCTTACGATTCAAATATAAAGATTTTGAACAGAGGCGTACGTAAGTCATGTTATATCTAACTATGCCATCGTCTTTGCAATTTGTTCAATTTGTTGTAGTAACTCTTACGCATATTTTAATTTGTACGTCTACAAAAACAAATCCTTTTGTAACCCCAAAGTTTTCCTTCAGTTTTTGAAATATTTAATTTGAAATATATGAATTCAATAATACTTGTTTAACACTACACCACTGAATGGAAGTCTTTGTACCGCTATTTCTAGCATTCGGTACACACACACCATGAATGCGTTCACTTCTCTGCCTCAAGATGTTAGCGGTTACACACATAATTACAGTCATGGGTATACATTTGATTACGGGTGTTAAATGTGTATAGTGTTACCACGTCTTTCATACCCCAGATGTTATATTTGATGCATGCTTTACAAAATAAAATTAGGTATAAATTCTGAAGAGCTTTTATTAACTTCTGAAATAACAACATAGATGTATTGTGCAATTTTAATAATGATCTTGATTTGTAAATTCAAAAAGTGATATTAAGTAACAAAAGTACGTTAATATCAATTATTTAAAAATTATGTGGGCTTCAAAATGTTAAATGGCTCCATTATCTTTTGCAACCGAAGAAACAAATATTAAATGTAGCAATTTTTTTCACACATTAATAGCAGCGATACATTACCATATTTTCTCTTTTCCCATCATCCATTATTCTTCTTTTGCACAATGGTTTAACTAACAAATCCATAAATTTGTTTAAATATTATTAATGTATCAATAATTTATATTTATATATTTCCTTAAATTACTTTAAATCATCGTTTTCTTTAATTTTTTAAGTAGGTATTTTGTCACCTGTGAAAGAAATTAGTGAAATCCAAACCAATCAGCCAAGGGTTATTTATTTATTTATAGCATTCCTTGTGAATGCTGTAAACATTACGTTGGAGAGACGTCTCAACCTGTCAATATAAGAATAGATGAACACAAAAATTATATTAAAAAACGAGAGTTGGAGAAATCTAAAATTTGAGATCACACTTAGGAAACCGGTGGTAATATTCAATTTAGTTCGGCTAAAATTTTGAAAAGCGTAACTAAAAATAAAAAAACATCATATGACATCTCTAACTATTGAAACAGACAAAAGCAAATAAATTTAAACTGTAAAAGTAACTAAAATGAAATGTCAAAAAAGTTCAGAAGACGAAAACAGATAGATTTTTGAAACGTTAACAACTTTGTAAAGTACGAGATAGAAAGTGATGTTTTTGTATTTTGTACTTGCCTTCATTTTTTTTCATAAAAATAACCCTTGACTGATCCTTTTGGCTCCGCTTATTTCACTAATTTATTTATAATTTTTTCACAGGTGGCAAAGTACAAATAAATAACTTCAGACAATACTTTAAACCAATTGATTATTTTTTAATTTGAAAGAATTCTTCTTGCAAAAAATGTGTATGTTGGACAGAAAAGTCTTGTGGTAAATGATTTCTTTTTTAATGAAATTGTTGTTCCCGTACATTACCAATTTTCTAATTTCAAATCATTCCATATTATTTTTTTAACTTAGCAACATTTTAATATGATACATTATAACACTATTTTAGAACGTATTTTATTTCCTAAATTTCTTCAGATGACTGTACTTATATGGTGTATCACATGATTAAATTAACTTCCTAAATATATCTACAATTCATCCCCTCATAGGTGTACAGACCATCAAAAAATAAAGTGACAAAGTTCGAGGGCTGTAGTAGCGAGATAATAATAACAATCAGGAAAACAACCTATAAAATGCATCTGAAGGAAGCTGAGCCCTTTAAAAGTGCTACTATCAGCGTTCCAAGTTTGTTACACCATTCTTAACAGCCTATATGTACATACATACAGGGATGGCCAGAAGTACGGAATAAAATTCATATCTTTTGAATGAGTTAATTTTTTTTAAAACGCCGAAACACGTTAACTGATTTTGATTTTTTCCCATCTTTCGGCTATATGATAATTAATTTTTCCTCAACCCCCTAACTCCCAGCTACCCCTACTTTTTTTTTTCAAATGGAAACATAAGGCATGAGGGGGCTCGTTGAAAAGCTTATAGAAAACTGAATCCAGCCATACTAAATAAACAAATTTAATTTTTTCATTAGCAAGTTTTTTTTCATTTAGAAATTGAAACAACTAGATAATTTACAAAAATAAACTCAATGTCGCAAATGCTGAAAATGTCCTCCATTCACTATTTAGCATTCTCCAAGACGATAGTAAAAGCTGTCCACAGCATTCTGAATGACTTCAGCTGGTAAATTATGCATCTCCGCCCTAATCTTGTTCTTTAAATTCTCAATATTATCCGGTCTGTCCTGGTAGACTCTTTCTTTCAAATATCCCCAAAGAAAATAATCCAGGGGTGTTAAGTCGGGGGATCTTGGCGGCCATTCAACTGTACCCCGTCTACCAATCCAGCGATTTGGAAACATTTCATCTAAGTATCTTCGAACATCAATACCAAAATGTGGGGGAGCGCCATCTTGTTGGAACCAAATTCTTTCATTCGGTATATCTGGATCAATTTCATGAGGGAAAATCACAGCTAGAGCAGGTATCAGGTCAAATGTTAGGAAATCCAGGTAGCGTGCGGCAGTAAGATTTTCTTCAAAAAAGAATGGGCCCAAGATTCTGTTGTTGATGATACCTGCCCATACATTAACTTTTTGTGGATGCTGCGTATGCGATTCGCATGTCCAGTGTGGATTTTCCTGGGACCAAAAGCGATAGTTGTGCCTGTTAACCACTCCATTTAAATAAAACGTAGCTTCATCCGAAAAAAGTACGTCTCGTTGAAAACCATTATTGTCGTCACACCGTCTCATCATTTCCTCACAAAATTGTAATCGCCTATCATAATCGTCTTCCAAAAGCTCTTGGACAAGACATACCTTATAGGGGTGGTATTTCTCTTGTTTCAGAAACATTCGAATTGCAGTTCGAGAAGCATCGTGATTGCGGGCCAATGAAACAGTTGAAGTATGAGGATTTTCAACAAGTTCTAATGCAATGTCTAATTTCTTTTCTTCATTCAAAGCACGTGCCCGTCCAGTTTTGGGCAAAGTCTGTACTGTACCGTGTTCCTCAAATTTGTGAAATATTTTACTAACTGTCCCTTGCGAGATTTGGTTTTCGGGATATTTCGCATTAAATAAATCGCGCACTTCAGCCTGACTTCTTATTTTGTCTCCACATCCAAGCAATATCAAGATTTCGATGCGTTGCCTTTCCGACAATACCATTGCAATTCAGTAAATAACTTGATTTTGACACAATAGTAACGTTTCGAACTCCAATTTACAACTAAAGCGAAAAATTAACCAGAAAGCCTGGCAAGTAAGTGGTGCCAAAAAAACGCAACATAAAAAATATATCTTTTTTGCGTTAGCAGTGATAGGTACAGTTTCAAATTCTTTATTTTATTCTGTGCAAATTCATGGAGGATAACACTGAAGATAATTAAATTTTATTTCACTTGTTAAGTAGGTGTTTTATACAACCCTAAAAACCTTGCTATTGAAAAAATAAAACTTGTTTATTTGGTATGGCTGGATTCGGTTTTCTATAAGCTTTTCAACGAGCCCCGTCATGCCTTATGTTTCCATTTGAAAAAAAAAGTAGGGGTAGCTGGGGGTTAGGGGGTTGAGGAAAAATTAATTATTACCTATATAACCGAAAGATGGGAAAAAATCAAAATCAGTTAACGTGTTTCGGCGTTTTAAAAAAAATTTACTCATTCAAATGATATGAATTTTATTCCGTACTTCTGGCCATCCCTGTATGTATAGAAACATGACATGTTTTAATAATTAACAAAATAATAATGAGTTTCTTTTAAGAATATCTTTTTTACAGGCTCGGATGAAATTATGGTAACGTTTAGGCTAATAGGCGTACTCTACATACTGAGTGATTTTGCACTTCCTCTTTTGTCGGCGTTTCCTCCCAATGTGAGGAACCCACTTCCGGTGGCTACAAACAAAATTACCGATATAAAAATAAGTTGTGACTCAGAAAATTTGAATACAACGTTAACGATGAGGTGTCCATTTAAGGGTCTACTTTTCGCCAAGGATTTTGCACAGGAGTGCAAAATAGTCGGTAAGCGAACATAAAGAGCTTTCGGAACTAAAATTGTGAAAATTTTGAGTCCTGTATAAAGTTGTGGGAATAATTTATAAGCGCATTACTACTCTGTTACGTACCAATTACAATCAGTAATGAAATAGTTAACTAATTTTTCATCTTGAGGCATTTCCAATAACACAAATTTTTAAACTGAAACAAAAACATTTTAAAAATTAAAGCCTGCATGAAAAATTATTCTGCATTAATTGATAAACGTGAGATACTGGTGTTTTAAATGATTCAGATTGAGGCTACGTGTTTTTTTTTAAATCCTTAAAGTGGTTTTCCTCAAAAAGTTGGTTTCAAGAAATAACCTAGAAAAACATTAATTACCAGCTGGATCATTTTTGAAGTAGGGACAGGTAAAAAATGAACTCCGAATTGTTGACACTATCTTTTGGATTTTTTTGCGTTGTTAAATTCTTAATAAGCTTCTGACAATTCCGAAAATGTATTGTTTGTCGTAAATATCTCAAAAAGTCATAAGTTAGATATAACTGTTTTTTTTTTCTAAATTAACCAAAGGGATAAAATGATTAAAAATGAAATCCGATACCGTTGTTGTATATGGTTGGTTATGGGGGAAAGCAAATTCATATAGCCAATAGGGATAATAGTAATTTTTTACTTTCTGTGATAAATACTTACGGCAAACTACTTTTTTCAAAAACAAGGCATCTTTTTAACTAAGCCATAACCAACTATGCTTTCAATTAAAAAAAAAACTTTGATTTGTAAACCTAATACCGTTAGACTTATTACAAAATTAAGTACACCATTGCATTGCAGGTAAAAAAGTCTATAAAATAAAGTATTAATATTTCAGAAAAAAAATCTGATTATAGCCACCAAAATTTCGATTTTTTGGCAGTAAATACAAAACTAAAACACATATTGAAAATTTGTTTGGATTTGCAGATTTTTTTGAAAGAAATATCCAACATTCTAAAAATGTACAGCTTCCTATATTTAATAATAATAACCGAGATGCTCTAGCAAATTTTCAAGTGTGTCTTGAATATGAATGGATCAGCCTGGAATATATTAGCACTGACTCATAATTTTTATTTGGTAAAATTTTGATACTATAATTATGTAAAGGCTGGACTTTAATTCAGACCAAAGTTGCTTCATTGATAAATTATGGGTTATTATGTTTTGGAAGAGTATTAGAAATATCTAATTATTATCTTAAAAGTAGTTTGAATCAAAATTTCTACGTCATTTAGTGTTTTTGCGATTCTATAACTTCGCTTAATTCATAATTGCATTTCAAAAAAAAAAAAAATCTCTTCCGTTTTATTCATAAAGCGAGTAATTTTCGAGTAACTATTACTTTTAGTATAACAAGAAATCAAAAAAATTATTTTTTTGGAGGAAAAATATGTAGGTATAGGAATTTTTTGTTGCGAATACAATTAAAGACAATGTAATAACCAATAAAAAAACCACTAGCGCAAAAATTTTGTGTTTTTTGAAGAAAAGTAAGGGGCAAATTTCTGTGCCACTTAGTTGAGTCGACTTTTATTGGTTACATTGGATTTAAAATAATATTGGCAATAAAAAATCCATACAGTTTTTAAAATTAAATTATTTCCGATTTATTCAACTGTACAGGGTGTTATTCTGGGAATAACGTGTACACACAGATTTGTGGACTCAAAATAGGCAGATTTAGGCTAATTCACCTATATCCGGAATCGCTTCGTTTGACCGCTAGATGGCCTCAAAGTTGGTGAACATTTTTTGAACTTTGTAAATAACTCGAATACGTATTATTTGAATTTGATTATTATTGGGGTGTGGACCTTTACTTTCAATCTACACATTTTGCTGTTATACAGAGTGTTTTTTAAAATTTACAACTCCTGTAAAATTGATGTATGGTGATAATAACCGTTCATGACTTTTTTCTCTTTCGAACAATAATGACAACTTTTTAATTTGATAGGTGATACCATTTGGAAGTTTTTGGGCCTCTTGCCTTGAATTTGAATACTCTCTTTGAATACTCTCTACTCTTGAATTTTGATTACATGAGCGGTGGTATGGGTAAAAAAACATTTTTTAAATGTATACATTATCTTACCACCCATATTACAATACTTAACAAAGTGCTAGTAGGCTCTGATTTTGTAGGTTGACTGTAATTTCAGTTTGATCTTTAAATCATTGTACCTAACATTTCTTAATGAATGTTTACTACGATAAGATATACCACATGTTACTTCATTTTTCGATATCGATACATACTCGTATATGACGAATTAGAGTTATTTACAACATACCTAATTTTATTGAGACAATTAGTGAAAACAATCAAATATAATAGAAGCGGAATAATAAATAGTCACAATGTATGCTCAAGAAAATCCTCATGCTATTAAAGTGAAACATTATCAGCATGAATTTCATATCAATGTTTGGTTTGACATCATTGATAGCATTTTTATTGGCCCTATTATTCTACCCGATAGACTAAATGGGGAATTTCATTTAGAATTCTTGCAAAACCCGAGTTACTGGAAAATGTGCCATTATCACTTAGATCTAACAAGTGGTTTATTCATGATGGCGCTGCACCACATTTCACTGTAAATGTCCAGCAGTATCTGAACCAAAGATTCCCTCGTCGATGGATCGGTAGAAGGGATAATGCTCCTGTTAGCTGTACGTTCACCAGACTTAACACCTTGCGACTATTATCTTTGGGGCACTCTGAACAGTGTATGCTTCCACATCTAAAGAACTGAAGAAAAATTGAGAAGGCATATCCTAAATGTCATAAATATTTTAAAAAATTGCCCTCAAGAACTGCAAAAAATGTTCTTTAACTTTCTACGCCAAATTAACCTCTGTTGTAGAAACAACGGTGGTCATTTTGAACAGTTTTTGTAATAAGTTGTACTAAATTTAATAACATCAACTTTGTTATTTTTATCTCCAGCATTTTTTATTGTATTTGATTGTTTTTACGAATTATTTCAATAAAACTAGACACGTTATAAATACTCTACATAATTCGTCGTATGTGTCTTGTCTTATCGTAGTAAACATTCATTAAGAATTGGCATGTACAATGACTAAAATGTACCCAAACCGCTCATTTAATCAAAATTCTACAAGAGACCCAAAAACTTCCAAATGGTATCACCTATCAAATAAAAAATAGTTGTCATTATTGCCCGAAAGAGGAAAAAGTTATGAACGGATATTATCACCATACATTAATTTTGTAGGAGTTGTAAGTTTTAAAAAACAAACCAAAATGTGTAGATTGAAGGCAAAAGTCCATACCCCAAAAATAATCAAAATCGAATAATATGTATTCCAGTTATTTACAAAATTCAAAAAATTTTCATCAATTTTGAGACCACCTAACAGCCAAAGGAAGCGATTTCGGATGTAGGTGAATTAGCCTAAATCTGCCTATGCTGAGTCCACGAATATGTGGTCTGTCGTTGTACATGTTATTCCGGGACACCCTGTATAATAAGTTTTTGTTGAAGTAAAAAAATAATAACACGGACATGATTTGTATTTATCAAACTATCCATCTCTCTATCTATGAAACGAACTTTGAAAACAAATATGTATATGCTAAACAAATGTTTCCATAAACAAACTAGTCATTCATAAAATTTTCCCAGATAAAAATATATATTTCGTTTATATTTTATTAATAATAATTAAAATAGATTACTTATAATTAAAATGTAGTAGAGTAAAAATGTCGCCTAATTCTACTGTAATTGATTAACAATAAATAATACTTACGAATTTCATTATTAAATTTTATTTGTGATGCCTCAAATACTTGCATAATAACAATAAACATTACAAGACATTTGCATGTTAATAGCGACTGAAATTATTTTCAATGTTGCAGGAAGTTTTTCGAACACTATAACGATTAGTCTACCCACTTCTGGATGTGGTGTGCGTCTCAGCACATTCGAAGATCCAAATGGATCTATTCAGATGTTTTACTCGGTAAACTTAGTTATACAACAGGACAGATACCTGAGGCAAATATCAGATCAGGTGAAAACTATACGCTGCGTTGTGAAAGATGAAGCCTTCCTGATTAAGAGTAGTGCTTTAATGAGCGCCCTGAGGAGTGATGTAAAAGGAGGACAAATCAACCACAGGTAAAAGTTGATAGATATATTTCTTGAAGTGTTGTGTTACAAATAATACTACTACCACTGTTTACAACTTCAATATTGACTTTGATTTTCTCGTGACCGAATAATCTGATTTTGAAGAACATTTTTTTTCCAACTATAAATTTAATTATCCTCAGTAACGGCGCTAATATAAAAATCAGTTTTTATCATAATACATTTTTCTGAACAGTTTGTTATTTGATTCACGTCATCACTTCAATTATAAATTAAAAAACATCAAATTATGCATAACAGTAATAACAATAAGTGATATGAACAAAATCAATAACAGATACAAAGAAGAAAATCAATCGATACTAATTCTAATATTGGCTTCAGACAGATTTGTAAATCAATTTTATCGTTATTTCATGAATATAATAATTTGCGTACTTCATAACGTCAAAAAATCAAGAAATAACTTCAATTATAAGGACAAATAATAAGGTCCATCATAAGAGCATAACACTAACATTATTTTCTTATAATCGAAATTTCCACAGTATTTTCAAACCTTTAATAATCTAATATTTGTACTGAAAAAGAACATAATACATTTATCAAAAACAGGGAGCATCAAGTTGCTATCCGATTTTTCTTTGACGAATGATTACACAGCCCCACAAAAAGAAAGTGTCGGATCTGGTATTCAGACGCATGTATTTCAATGTATTTTTTTCCGCTGAATCCGAATCTGCCCAACCATTGATTTGGCCCAACGGATCCGAGTTTTCGGGAAAATTAAAAAAACAGGTTAAAATTCACAAAAAAACGTAATTTACGATCGACGAGTTATAAAAAATCAAATTATTCTACCAGCTCACTAAACGTATGATTTTTCACTCGTTTAATTCCAATTTATCATCATAGAGTCAGACAAGCTGGTCCAATTTCATTCAAAAACAGAAAATAGATTAAAATACTTAAAAACGCCATTTTAATGGCATAATTCGTGTTGCAGAGTTCTGGGATCCATCTTTTTATCCACCCACCCATTTATGAATTCATACATCTTTCTATCCAGTCGTTCATGCATGAATACGCATATTTATTCATCCACCTGTACCACCTATAAAACCCACCCATCCACCCATATATCCATCTACTTTTTGTACTGAGAGATGAGATAAGAGCCTAGAAGATTGAGAATGCAATAAAACTTGTAGAAAACTCTACTTTCTAAACAAAAGAAGACGATATCTATAAATCATTCTTATTTTTGTTGCTATAACGTATTCTCTTCTCTTCAAAGGATCTATGCAAAGGGTTACGCTTTCGTTTAGTCCCTCTATTTTTCTGAGGCGAAATTGAAAGAAGGTGTTTCGATGGACCTCAGATTCAGACATTGTTCAAGGATGTAACATTCATCAGTACAATGAGTAGCTTTGAGAAGAGTGCTTGGACTAGTTTCAAAATTGTAGCAACAAATTTTTTAGGAAACAACAAGAGTCCTAAATACGAAGAAATTGTGTCAAAAATGATAAAAGACTTCCAAGACCTGGGATGTTTGATGGACTACAAGTTGCACTTCCTTCATTCGCATCTGGATTGGTTTCCTGAAAATCTTAGAGATTATAGCGAAGAACAAGGCGAACGATCTCATCAGGATATGAAGGTTATAGAACAGCGATATCAAGAAAGATGGGATCACAACAGGATGGACGATTTTTGTTGGTTGTTAAAAAGAAAAACGAAAAATAGAGGGACTAAACGAAAGCATAACCCTTTGCATATATCCTTTGAAGAAAAGAGAACACGTTATAGCAACAAAAATAAGAATGATTTATAGATATCGTCTTCTTTTGTTTAGAAAGTAGAGTATTAAACAAGTTTTATTGTATTCTCAATCTTCTAGGGTGTTATCTCATCTCTCAGTACAAAAAGTAGATGGATAGATGGGTGGGTGGGTTTTATAGGAGGTACAGGTGGATGAATAAATATGCGTATTCATGGATGAACGACTAGATCGAAAGATGTATGAATTCATAAATGGGTGGGTGGATATAAAAAGATGGATCCAGAACTCTCCAACACGAATTCTGCCATGAAAATTGCTTTTTTATGCGTTTTGATTTATTTTCTGTTTTTGAATGAAATTGGACCAGCTTGTCTGACTCTATGATGATAAATTGGAATTAAACGAGTAAAAAATCATACGTCTAGTGAGCTGGTAGAATAATTTGATTTATTATAACTTTCGTCGATCGTAAATGACGTTTGTTGTGAATTTTGACCTGTTTTTTGAATTTTCCCGAAAACTCTGACCCGTTGGGCCAAATCTGAAGGCAGATTCGGATTCAGCGGAAAAAAATACATGGAAATACATGGGTCTTAATACCAGATTTTTGTGGGGCTGTGTTATCGTCTTTATAGAACTTCTTGTACCTAAAAGTTTTATTCTTTGTAGAATTGGAAGAATGAAAGACGCAGGTTGGTCAAAAGAACTTGAAGGTAAGCAGCTAGAAGAAGAATTGAACGACGCCTTAACTGCAGCTAGAGCTTGGATGGAAATCACTGCAGAGAATACAGAAGAAAGGCCTTCAGATACCTTGCAAGTTGGAGAAACAGCTCTCCTCACCATAAAATCTACATTGCCAGGTATTTACTTACATATTTATGTAATCGGTAGATCAGAGATAAGCTGAGTCGAAAACTATGATTACAATCAGTCCAAAAGTTCGTAGAAAACTGTAGATACGGAATAATATCCCAGATGGTCCTTAATAGAATTAATAGCAAAGTTGACAAATAGCTAAAGGTATAATATCATTGAAAATGGCAAAAAATGAAACTCTCTTATTTCCAACAAATACTTTAGTATTCATTAACGTTATATATGTTTTTTCCTCTTATGATTGAAGTACTATGTTAAAAAATGTATGATTTATGTACTCTTCTCCTCTACAAGTGTCACATTTATAATAGTACAATACATATAAAAGTGTGTCAAATTTTTCTATGGAGTCTATTCATTCTCAAAGTGTGCTTGTGCTTTCTATAATGTTTAACACCTCTAACATACAGAATATAAAATTTTTAAATATAAATATACTTAAAATATTTATTTAAAAATGAAGATAAATTACTTTAGCTAAGTAAACAATATATACGAATTTATATACTTTAGTGTACATATTTTTAAATACTTTTAGTTATTAATACTATATTAATATGAATTCATAACCTTATTTTTTGTAAAGCATACTCGTTGGACAATTTAAATAAACTATAATTTAGTCACTTTCAAAATTTGATACACCTACAAAAGTAGAATATGATTTACATACCGGTTTTTTATGTAATATAAAAAGTATCTAGTAGGTAAAATTAAAGATGTAACTTTATAATACCTGCCTACTATGGTATACGGATATTGAAAAAAAAAATGTCAAGAATATGGTTTAAATGTATCAAAATGAATTAGGATTGTTTTACACTTTATTCCATGTCCACACTGGCGAGAACAAACATTAAGTAATTTTGTTCGCTAACAGTGTTCACGAACAAGGTTAGCAAGGTTCGAATTTTCGCTAACAATCGTACCATACCAACTAATGCATCCCAACAAGACTATTCGCTAGCAAAATTCGATGTAGGCGATAAACTTTCAAATGTTATTACAATTTGTGTTAAGTACTTTTTTGGATTTTTTCTTTTACAAAAGCATTTTATAACACAAAAACTAATTAAATTATTTGAAAGCCAAGATACCTGTAGAATATTGAGATGAACGAATATATACATGCAATAAACAAATGAGATTTGTGATATGATACCGAAATGAATTTGAAAGTAAAAGTTAAAGAAAGTGAAAAAAAAGAGAAATCCTTACTGGTGGCATAGTGTAAAGAAAAAAATATCGATTACGATCAATTGAGGAGTACATACTCGTACTTTAGGAAAATTATTATTATTATTAATCCGAAGTAGCCTGACACTGTTAAAGTCGCGTAATGTTAAGTTTTAACGAAATAGACCAAAAAATAAAACATATTTTCTGTATCCTTTAAATTGTCAATTAAAGCTTCACATATTTTGTGAGCAATATTTAAAATTTCTGAAGAAAGAATTAGGTTTTGAAACTAATATTCTGTAGCTAATAATCTTAAAAATTCGCGTCGGTGTGGACCCGAGGTTAAAAGGGTTTAACGCCTTTTCCTGTTAAAATAAACCAATTCTATTATAAAAACAACAGATGCTAAACCTAAGCCTACTAACAGTATATTAAATATTAGTACTAGGTTTTTAAGCCTCAAAAAATGGTTTCCATTTTCATCTGTATCGAATGATCTAACTGTTTCTGGGTTTATGATAGTACCTGTCCGTAGAATATCCCTTTTCCATTTTACCAAAAGACCTGCATCTATAATTCGACGCACCTGTAAGTCGATGTCTTTATGTAAAGGAAACCCTTTCCGCATCAACAGTGTTAAAGGGAAACCAACTAAACGTCCAAAGCAGTATAGAGCATCTTTCGGCACAAATTTACCAATAGAGTATGTGATATACCATTGCGGACCACAAAAAGTCGAATCCTTACGAAACGCTACAAATTGTAAACATTTCTTTAGTTTATCACAGACTTTCCATCTTTTAAAAATAATGTGATCTTTATCGTAAAGTTCTGTGAAGTACCGCTCACAATTCATTTGAAAATATGTCTTGAGATTGTGTTTGTAAATGTCCTCTATGGTATCATACTTCTCCACGAACTCAGACTTTGCTAGCATAGATGTAAGGAAAGTTTGATAAATAGTGACCAAGGTAAAACTCAAAAATATTAAAGTTAATATAAGAATTCGTAATTTGAATGTCTTTGACAGTAGTAGGCCTGGTATCCCAATCAACATGGAAAATGTTTTTTGAAAAACATCAATTAGCTTCATATAAGGCTTGTTTCCGTGTTTATAATAAAAAGTGGTGTACCAAATTAAGATAGTGACAGTTAAATATACAAATAAAATCAATATCGAAGATGACAAATCGAAGATAGGATACATTTTTTGTTTTGAAATAGGAACATGTGGGACGCACCATATTAAACTATCTGCTAAATGAGGATAACTAAAATCCAAAGAAAAAGCTCTAGCCCAAGACACTTCGTATGAGCTTAGAGCTATATCTATCTTGCTCTCTACTAACAGCCGCAGATTACCAGATCCGGTCCCATTAATGTATACATGACCCCAATCAGGCTTAAAGTATTGTTTATACAATACTTTAATTTTTAAAAGTTTAGCAACCAAATTCATTAAGTTTATCTCCAGTCCATTTTTGGATAAGTAGTCGTCTTTAATACCCAAATCATTGTTCTTGATATTCATTACAAAGGGCTCGACATTTATAGTTCCCACTAATACTGTACAATTTTTATTAAAAGCAGGTTCTTCATTTAAGAATAAACTTACGTTTTTAAGAAATATTCCAAAAGAACATGTATCTACTAAGTCAATCTTCCCGTCATTGTTCCTATGACCACAGTTTTTAAAAATTTTCCTCTTGTACATATTACATTGATTGGTTTCAGGATCGTTTATTAAAATGACAGCATTTATTATATGTTCTTGCCATAATATATCAAATAGTTCCTTAACCATTTGTATTGAGGATTTAGGTGGTACGATAAGAAATATTGCCTTTGAGTTTAACTGCCTTAATATCCTTATTTTATATCTAATATTTTCGCCATTTTTCATATACAAAAGAAAAAAAGTGGGTTTTTTAAGAGAATATAAATAGTCCTTAATTAAGGTATTTCCATCCTCTATTTTCTCAACAAGTACCGTCCAGTTCAAATTTTCTGAAAGACTTTGTAACAGTGCATCAGAAATTCCATTTGCCAAACCAATTAGAATTGTCTCATTGTCAGATAAGTACCGTCCGATCAATGACACCAAACACTGATTCATTGAAATTTCCATTGTGGATCTGGATATTAATTTTGTATCAGAAATTTCCATTGCACATAATTTTACAGCATTCGTAGCCAAATAGACAAAAAGCGATTGTAATATCTTCATATTGTATAAAATTAGCTAATCTAAGAAAAATTAACATTTAAATCAATATACATGATATTATTTTAATTACCTACAGTTCAGTTTAGTTGAACAAATTGGTCTTTCATCTTCCACTTCGCTAATAACAAGAAAAAGAACTGATCAGTTCCGTTAAGTGAAGATTAAAAAACCAATACATATATTTTTCAGAGCAACTGAGGTATTTTTGAAGTTCCGAAAGTGTATGCTATCTGATTATTATTTTTACAAGCAAAATAGGTTGTTGTATATGTTCTACCTAGCTCAAACACTAAATTCACCGTTAATTACGGAAAAGTCATTAACGGCACCGACATCCATGTTTAAATATTTAACACATATGTGTATGACATTTCTGTTTACTTTTAAAAATAAATAGCAGATATATAGTTTAATAGATTATAGGTACGATATCGATATAATCTATTTGGAAAACTACAACTACAATCTCTGAAAAGTATTTTTAAAAAGAACTATTACAGTTTATCGTAAATTTCCAATGTCCTATTTAATTATACCTGTTATAGTATTTCACTCTGGTTCATAATAATTATAATTACACCAAAATTAAATAAAATAATTATCGATTTGTCTTTTAAGGAAATTATCATTAGATTTTTACCATTACTGTTTTTATTGCTATTTATATGTATATTATACTGTTATCGACATAGTTAACCAAGTTGATGTTAATATTTCCAGTGATCAAAAAATATATAGGTAGTACCTTTTTACGCTTACTAAGGGATCTCTGATCCTTCAAAGGTTGGAAACAGTTTTTACAAAGTACCATTGATGATACAAATCGCACACGGACTTGGTACGCCGCCGCCATTATTCCATGGCTAGAAATTGGCCTCAATGAATTGGGATCGAGGGGGATTATCTCTTTATCCTGCCTCATCTCGTGTAGGCCTGGACAGCCTTCGTAGGTGGGCCCCATCCGTCGTCTACCCCGACCGCAAATGCGGTCGGTGTAGGCGCTTTGTGGGACCTCCTTTTGTCCTGGCTGGGCCCCGCCGGCTAGGGCCCTTTCTTCTGGCGCTCTTCTTGCTTCGCCGGCTCGTCTGTGTAAACCCCGGGGGTGGTGTCATGTTTATGTGTGGTATGGTTGGGTAGGATAGTGCGGCTATGCAGCCTGGGATGCGCTTTGCTAAGGTGGCCCTTAGGCTAGCGCGGGAGGGGAGGGGTAAGGAGGGTATGGGGGGTGTGTATGTGTGTGTGTGTGTCGTTGTCTTCGTTTCTTGATCCTGGCTGTCTCTGAAACAGAAAAGGTTAGCGGGCAGGGGGGGGGGTCGTTGGGGTGGTCACCCAGGGTCAAAAAGTTGGTGTCTAGGTCTTTTGTGTTTGTCGGTCACGTCGGGTACATAGTCAACGGCTTGCCTGAGGAGGGGATTGTCATGTCTAGCGGCTACGTCAAACCGTTTCTCCGCGTTTTGTCTTATTGTCTGTGTAGCGTTTGTGTATTGTAAGTCTCGTAATATGTCAGAGTTTCTTACGTACCAGGGCGCGTCGGCTATGTTTTCCACAGCCTGTAATGACTAAGGACTTGGTATTGTGCTGTCGTAGTAATATTTATGTACCTACATCCTACATGTAAAATTAGAAGTTTTCGAGTTTTCTTCGAAGAAGAATTTTGCATAAATTCGCACTTATTTGAACAAAAGAACCGATAGAATCAACTTTTCAATAATTATGTACCTACTTTTTATTGTGCAATTCTTTAAAAGAAGATTATGTTGAACATTTCACTCCAAGACTCTTTTTAACACTTAAAACTCCTCAGACTCTATCCAATTCCGAACTACTGAATAGTTTTTGTTCAAGTTACATGCTACGTAGATAGCTACTACAAAGAAACTACATGTACCAAATTTAAAGTATATATCTTCTATCTATATTCTATATTCTATATGGTTTTTCAATAATTCATAAACTCTGACTAATCTTTGAAGATCGTAGATGCCTAATGAATTATTTATTATTTATTTTAAAGAGAGGAGTTGGTTCTAAGAGTTAGTCGTAACGTCGCTGTTTTTTATAGAGTAATATATTCACCTATTGCAAATCTTGCAATCAAATAATATTTGAAAAAGTATTGTATTGATTATGTAAAGTTAAAGATTTTTGGTAATACATTTTGGTTCAATGAAATAATGTTACATACCTTTTCCAGCTGGTATTGGCTGGAGAGTAGTTGAATGTGTTGCTCACGACGGCTTGGGAGATTCTTCACAGAAACTTTTGGATGAACAAGGATGTCCCTTGGACCACCTTCTAATGCCCACACCTACGTATGGACCAATTCGTCCCATAGCTTTAATGAGACATCAAGAAGCCGTTTCCAAGTTTCAAGCTTTCAAGTTTCCAGACAGAGACCGACTTCATTTGAACTGCGGATTGCAGCTTTGTAGAGGATTTTGTCCGAAGGTAGGATATTGTCAGTTAATTACTAATGTAAATAGCCCAATGAGACCAGTTAATGTATTTTTATTTCGTCACAAATTTGTTAAGTTGACTTATATTAATTATAATAATAATTTGTTAAAATGTACTATTTCATAGGTTGACTGCGGTATCAACAATGAAAACACCACGATAGAAAGCAGAACTGGAAGAACTTTGCCTAAAAAAGAAGAGGGAGAGATTCTGGATCGATTGGAAGTTTTTAATAGTGTTGCAGTGCTAGCTCCTGAAATAGACGATTTAATGCAAGTAGAGAAACAGTCAACTAGCGGTAAGTGGAGGAAGAATGGGCAAGACTTTGTATATAACACCCCACCTTCCAAAACTGCATTTTCACAGTTTCTTATACCATGTATATTTGTGTATGTAAATATATATTTTGCACATATCTTTTCTTTTTCTTTCCTTTGCACATATTCCTTTGTTTATAGGCTGTCAATGGGTATGTTGGTAGAATATTTAAAATTCAAGTAATCAGTCTTTCTAGTAACAATTAATTAATAAATATTTTATTTTTTATATTTTGATAGTTGAAGATTAATTATAGTATTTAACTCAGAGTTAACGTTGAAGCACGTGAAATAACTTAATATGCTGCATATGCCTTGTACATATATACCTATTTTCAAAACTTAACTTAAATATATAAATCTTCGCAACGCATAATATTATTTCAAATTACATTCTAATCAACATTATTTTTAGACATCGAAGTTTGACATTTTTTGAACGCTGAATAAATGATGAAGATGAAGTTTGTAAATCATATTATTAAAACTCAGACGAAACTTAATATATACATATACTTTCATCCAATACAATTTTTATATAAGTGAAAATATTTTTTTTTATAATTTTGAATCACAGACGAATACGTTATGAAGTTCTACAATGCACGTATCATTTTATTTGATTGATATTATAAACTTATGAAATTCCAGTTTTCACAATATGAAGGCGAAATAGCGGTAATGCAATTTTTCAGCAAATAAACAACTAAAATGGAATATATTCAAAAAATGAAATTAAAAATTAAAACAACAAAACTCACGATTTATTTAAAAATTCGATTTTATGCAGCAGTAACATCGTACGACCTTCTTGAGGCTAAACTCAACAAGAAAACTTAATTCAATAATTGTTACTGTTGGGCAGAGTAATGATAAAGACAAAAAATGAAATTGTGAAAATTATACCTAGAAAAATGGTTAGTGAAATTAAATGTAATGACTCACACCAGATCAAATCCAGGCTGTTTTGGGATTGTTTCGAAGCTTATGGTAAGACTAAGGAAAGAAGTCAAAATGATATGACCTTGACTTGGATAACAGAGCATGATTCTCACCGAGACAATGAGAGGGCTGATTAGCCTCAGAATAGAGTGATTAGGATCATCTACACTACCTCAGTGTCTGAACCCATCTGCGGTATTGTTAGCTGAAAGAAAAGACCCAAAAATGGTGGCAGAGACCGCTAGACATAGACTAACTAAGAAAATCTTAAAATCACAGCCCGTGAATTGCAAGGGTACCGTATCTAGTATCTGGAAGGGAAAAACCAGAAGCTGGAAGCTATCTAAAGTAGACACTGTGGAAACTTAATTAGAAAGTTAAATGTGGAACTCTAAGATCATGGTGGTCCACAAAGACCAACATATGGCCGCAGTGGAAAAGGGTATGTTAAATTTACAACGTCTATAATAAACAAAACAACAAATGAAACTTGAAGACAAAATTTGAAAGCCGAGTCTACGGTGGACGCAGTACTAGGGTGCCCTAGGTATATCAGTATATTCGTCTGGCTAAATAAACTTCAGTGCTCTAGGTGGATCTTTCTTGCTTATAACTTTTGCCAAAATATTATTATTTTTATATATTTACTTTATTTTTGTGTATTAGTATATTTGTGTTTGTATTTGTTTTTGTTATGTAGTATAGTATATAATTTTTGTAATGTTTAATGATTAAATATTCGTTTGGGCGCCTTTTGTTGTGTAGAATGTAATTTGTGTGTGTTGAAATCAATTTTTATTGGATGCAGGTTCTCAGGATAAAGTTAAGCAATAACAATGACAAATTTCATCGAATTATACTTTTCTTACCTTGGTTTTGCTTATCTCTTCTCCGGCAGCTTTATCTTGCATAAATAACATTTACAGTGTACACTTTATTACAGTGTAGATATGAATGTTTACGTTTAGTGATTAATGATACACTGTCCCTCAAAAACACTTATTAAGAATACTAGCATGAGTTCTTATCTCAGAGAAGCGGTTCAATATTATTCAAACTTACTATCACTATAGATTTGAGTAGGAAGCAATGAATGAAGGCAAATTTTTAACGATTTTAACAATATGACATTTATTAACTATTTATTTTAAAATGCGAACAATATTTTTAAGAAACACAAAAACTAGATATGTTATGGACTTTTACATGAATAAATAACTGATAAATTTTCTTAAGCCTACCTAATCTAATTTTGAAAATATTTGGTTAACCAATTAGTATTGTTTTAAATGTATTACGAAACAAATTAACTTAAATTAAGGACACAGAAACTTAACTAACCCTTATACTATGCAATGTTCTAAAATATGATTTTAATTTCTATTCACTAATATTGTCTATGGTTTGAAATACAGTTTTTGATTTCACAAAATGTTTTTTAATTCGAATTTGTAAACAATCTAATTTATGTTTTGGAGAGTATGCTTAGGCAACTGGACCTACATTTTCCATTCTCTCGACGTTGGAATGTCCAATATTCACTCTAACCTCGCTTTTTAGTTGTGGGTGAAACAGCTGTTCTCGTCTCTTGTGGATCATTTTTGTGAGTTGGTTGCGTCTTGGTTATTTGGGGAGCTACAGGATAACATGCACCCCTAACCTGTGTCTGGGACCAACTAGTTTCTCTTCCAACTTGTTTACTTCGAAACGATGCTGTGTTGTTTTCCCTTAGAAGGTAAATTTTCTGATTTGTCCTTTTTTTATTGGTCACTTGTATCCATGAGATATTGTTTTCTTACTGCGCACTTTTCTCCAACATATTGCGATGTCATTTTATTTTTAATAAATTACGGCGTAATTTGTATTTTATAACTGCGTAGTAAATTTTTGAATTCTGAATGACAATTTTTATAATAAACTTCTAGCCTATGTATTTTTCTGATACTATAATAATATTTGAATTTTCTTTTGTACTAATTTATTTAACGTTTATTTAATTGTAAAATTGTTAAATTGGCCTTTCTTGTGGCATTTTTCTTGTGCTTTCATGCTTCCACTTCGATCCTAAACTTTATCTTTTTGACATGCTTCTCTATTAAAATGTATTAGTCAAATTTTGAATGATAATATTTTAATTTTGATACGATATAACTATGAAATGGGATTTTATTTTACTTTAAAAGTAATTTATGTCTTCATTATAGTCTACGTTATAATTTTATACATTGGTGTTATACATTTTAAACTTTTCTCTCTATCATTACTCTGTGTCGTGTCCTGAAATACAGTGTGTTCATTTCAACATAATCATAATCATTTTTGTTCATTCTCAAAAAGTTCTTGTAGATTCACTGTCTTCTTGCAGTAATTTAGCGTGCATTCCTTCGTTGTCTCTTTTTTCTCTTAATATTTTTCTTTTTCAACAAAACACAACCACTGCAGCTGCTAAACACCTAACTCTATCTACATTATTCACCTTTTCACAGTGTACACGGGTTTATAAATTTCTCTAGCTAGACTGGTCTATCTTCATTCTACGAATTCCGTAGAGACGGCAAATTACTCTCCGTCTAGCTAGGGCGGTCTACCTAGACTCGCTCTATGACAATAAATCTACAATGTACTAGCACCTTTAGAGTTTGAGCTTCCATATCTGACCTTCAGTTTGAGTTTCCTTGTCCAAGCTTTAGCTTGGGTTCACCTGATTGAACTGCAGTTTGAGCCTGAATTTCTGTTTGAAATACAGATTTTATGCCTTGGCCTCAGTTAGAGTTTCCCTGTCCGAGATTCAGATTTAGTTTGCCTATTAGAGGTGCGGTTTGAGTTTTCCATGGTTTAAGTACACTCTATCGGTCCGTTATTCAGGTTGAGTTTGCCTGTCCGAGCCTTATTTTGTATATGTATATCTGAGCTTCAGTTTAAGTTTTCTGGTATGCCTGCATTTCACAATAGTTGGATGTGATTAGAATTATTATGGGGATGGGTTGGGTATGAGAAGATGGGCAATGGATCTGTTTGGCCCAAACTCAACGGAATATCTGGCCCTAGACATATAGTAAAATACATTTTCTTGCCATTACTATATGTCATAGTTATTGAATGTGGGCCAGTTATTGGGGGGGAGGGGTATGTAGGGCAGTTGATGGTAGGGGGTGGGTCCGTTTGGGCTAAAATCGATTAAATTTTGTTTGTTTGACCCCAAGCTATGAAAACCATGCATTTTATTTTTCCAATTGTCTTGAAAACCGCATTTAATGACTCTAGTCCTTTGTTATAAAATTCCAGAATAAAACTGAAACCTAAAGAAATTTCATGTCTTATCGCGACCGCCTTGTAAGTAATAAACGTACCGCTCTTGTTGCTCCATTTCTCATAATGCTCCACAATTACTCACGTGGCACCCCATAAACATCTAATATCGTGTTATTAAATACGGCGTGATTATTTTCAAAGCCACGGTGGTCTGGGATCAACCAAGCGCAAAATTTGTTTTGTCCGCGGGCATCTAGTGTGGCACTCTGACGGCGATTCCTGCGAATCCACGTGAGTGATTAATGAACGATTACAGTAACCGCTAATCTGTTAGTGAGATGTTGGGGTCCATCAATTTTATTGTGACTATTAAAGTGGTGCACGTGAGAAGGTGGATTCGCATTCCTATGCCCAGCTTCCCACGCAAACAGAAAATGAAAGTAAATATGTATATGAATGTATATAATAGGGTGGAGTTGCTGTAAATATTAACAAAGCTTAAAAAAATACGAAACTTTTACACACTACAAATTAATTTGTTGCCATTTTAACATATTTCACATTGATCCACGATAAGCATCTAAGTTCCTTAATATGTACCTACATTGCACTTACCTAAAAACCTGTAAGGAAATTGTTGACAAAATGTTATGCCCAAATTTCAACGAAGCAACACTAGAAAATATGTACGGAGGTTTCATAAATGTTTAACAGCCACATGACCCCCGGGCTTAGGCAACCCAACAGTGCACGGTAACTGGTAACGAAAAAATCCTAAATCTCGGCG